TTTTGAATAACCATATTCCACCTATAGCATTGGTGAGCTCCTTTCCTCCTAAGATAAAACATTGACGTCTTCAGCAGCTAAGCCCAATTTTCAACCCATGCTCCTTCTCATGGCTGAAGTTAGCACCATTTTATTAAGTTGGTAGTGAGCTATAGCGGCCCCACTTTCCCTTTGTTCATCTATCGATCTAAACTAATCACTTAATTAGCCCAGACAGGAAGTCTTCTGCGGTGTTAAATAACTCCAGAAACCTACTGGAGATGCTTGAGTGGACCGATTGGATTTAACTTGCATTTCATTACCTCTACACTAAGATATGTTAAATTCAGGGCCTGAAAAACAAGCTGGATTCTGTACTGGAAACAAATTCTGTTTACTTATAGAAAAAAAAAATCATCCCTCCAAGCCAGTGGTTTTCAAAGTGTGGGCCCTGACACAGCAGTATCAGCATCACCTGGGAACATGTCAGGCCCCACTCCAAATCTACCAAATCAAACTCTGGAGGTAGGGTCTTGCAATCAATTTTAACAAGCCCTACCAGTGATATTTATGGAGAACTCGTGCTTTAGGCTGTCTCTCAGGGTTATGGACTTATTTTTGTGGGCCTACCTTTTAGCAGAGAGAAGAAAAAGAGGAATGCTGAGCAATCTGGATGGGAAGACTATTTACTAAATTATGACGTTGAACCAGCAGCCTGGGGCTCATTGGGAATCTGAGAGTATTATTTCAGATTCTTCCTTAGGAATGGCATGGGATAGGGAGATGGGCACCCCTGGCCAGGGTGACTGGACAGAATGCTCAGAGAGTGATCAAAGTGCTGCTTTATTGTAGAAATATGAGAGGACAGTGGGACATTTTCAGGGTGACATAAAGAGCACCAGAAAGCCTCACTTGCTCTCAGAAGGCTTCCCCAGAATGGACACACAGAGGGTACTTGGTAAATGCTCCTTGACTTGACAAAGATTGAACCTTAGTAGATTGGTTTTCCCCAGATAATTTTGATCTGGAATATGTAGATGTGTTTTCTCAGTCTCAGTTTGTAGGGAAAACCAGGAGTTAGCCATAGGGCATCAACTGGTCCCTCTTATTCTGTCTTCTGAGAAATAGCTTGGCTTAGAGAAAAGAGCTCCAGGCTTTAGGTCGCATATATGTGCTCTTACTAGTATGTGACCTTAAGCAACTCACAAACACTGAACTGCAGTTTCCTTATCTATAAAAGGAGAATAATAGTTACTTCCAGATATTTTTGCTAAGCATTGTAGCAGGGGCACCCAATACATACAATACTTGGCATACAGTAGTGGTTGGATAAATATTTGTTTAAAAGAAAGGGAGGAAAGAAAGAAGGAAGGTGGGTTGATTTTTTTGAGGCTTATATGAAATAGTGCTTTGAAAATGCCTGGCATAATGCTCGGTACAAAGATACCCTGCAAATTGTATTTCATGATGAGGAGGTGGAGAAGAGGAAGAAGATGACTGGATTCAGAAAACCATCTTCTAGGCGCCTAGAATTGGACCCATATTCTTGCTGAAACTAGCCCTGTTCTTCCCATTCTTCTTCCCTCTGCAGTCCATGGTTACTCTCCTTTCCAGCTACATCTCAGGGGCCATCACAGTTTTGGCTGCCAAAACTATAGCCTTCAATTTGATGTACAGTATAAATGGTCAAGATGTTTGCAGAACTGAAATTAACTGCAAACATGTGAGCATGCTTGAGGGTTGTTAGTGGTGGTTATTCCAAGTAGGACTGATAGGTTTTCAATCCCTATAACTAAGTAATTACATGTTAATTATTTTACATTGTTCTACTTCCAGGATAGGTAAATCATTAATCTTTTGGTTAACACATTTGCCTCAGAGTCAGAGGAAGCATTTTTAGTAATACTCTTCCTGTATGTTTTTAAGTTATAGAAATGTCATTAGTTGCTTTCATTTACAAGATTAAAGGGATGTTTTCACCTTGAGAATGCTTAAATATTCCCTGCCTTTCCTTAACTATCCTGTTCCCTTTCCCTTTGAACATCAGTACAAAGGACCAACCTACCAACTTGATAGTTCAGGAGAGAAGTTGGGAATGGTATTTATTAAATTTGCTGAGAGCCCTTCATTATTAATTATTCTCCAAAAGGGACAGGCTTTTGGGAATGAGACCTAAGTTGATCCTCAATCCATCTATTATCAACTTTGTGACCTTGATCAAGTTACCTAACCTTCTTCAGCCCAAATCTCCATGTATATTGTATGGGGATCTTGTATGGATTAAACAAAATAATATTTGCAAATGTATCTACAATAAAAACACAACAAAAGTTCATTTCCTTCTCTCACCAACCTGTTGGGCAGTTATACTCAATAGCTGTAGATCCCTGGAAGAAGCAGGTACATGGCCAGACCTAGTTTCAAGCTTAGATACAGAGAGGGATGGATGGGAGAGGTTTCCATTTCATGAGACACACAGCTCTTTGAAAGAATTGACGGGGTTTGAGAAGTACTGTTTTATAACTTTGGGTCAGCTGTGGTGGAGACAATCATGGGGAAAGTTCCTTTCAAGCTCTTTGCCAAAAATAGAGTGCCATTCTCTTCTGCCATTTGGAATTTGATTATAGATGGGACAATAAAGATAAGGAATGGACCTAGAGTTTGAAAAGTGAGCACACACAAATAAATAGGGGAAATCCTCCTTCAGAATGTTGTCAATACAGAGACTGGCTGCTGTGCTGTTGTCTGATAAGCACAGTGGAAATGGACTCCCATGTACACAGAGTTATCCATTATTTACCGTAACATTAGTACTTTCCAGCTCTTGGGCAAAAACAAAACCACCTAGTGGGTATTTGTGTCCAAGAAGAAATGAGAGAAAAAGAGAAGGCTACTGCTAGGGACACTGTTCTTTCCTTCCGAATTTTCTCCATACAGACCGGACCCACTTTAGCAAATGGAGTAATAGTTGTTTTTTCCATATTGGTATCAGTAAGCTTTGTTAGTTCTAGAAACATCTCTTAAAAGGCACTATAGGGCGCCTGGGTGGCTCAGTCGGTTAAGCCACTGCCTTCGGCTCAGGTCATGGTCCTGGAGTCCCGGGATCGAGTCCCGCATCGGGCTCCCTGCTCAGCAGGGAGTCTGCTTCTCCCTCTGACCCTCTTCCCTCTCGTGCTCTCTCTCTCTCATTCTCTCTCTCTAATAAATAAATAAAATCTTTAAAAAAAAAAAGGCACTATAAACAAACAGTCCTTATTGGGTTATCAGGCCTCCCACTGGGCATGGATTCATGGGGCTGGCATGGAAGTAGAGCTTCAGGGCTGGCCTTCTGCACCCCAGCCTCCACAGCCTCCGTAGTCTCCAACAGCCTCCACAGCCTCCAAACCATGGCAGACTTATAGGAAGATGCTGAGCTGAAGAAATTCATGGGAGGAAGGGCAGAAATGAGGCTCCTCTAGGGTTTTAATTGGATAGAGGAAATAGAAAACACAACTGCTGTTAGGCTTGCAGTATCACTCAACTGTTTCATCAGTGACTGTTTATTCACTTCTTTGAAAGCCATTGAATAAAATGTGGAATTAGCCCCAAAGGCAGGGGCCTGGTCTTCTGGTGACACCTGCTATTAAAACGAGGATGGAATTGGTGTCTGACCTTCTGGGGATAAGAAAAATCTGGTGTTTTTAGGGCTTTTCTTTGGACCACAAATTAGCAACCCTTGAGCTGGGGGAAATCACTAGTACTTGGCATCTGCCCTCACTGCCATTTTATCTTCTGAACACATCCTGTTCAGATTGCAGTGCTTTTCCTTTTAGCTAAGAAAGAAGCATCTCAGATGAGGCTTGGGAATGAGAGGCTTTGGGGTCTCAAGAAGGCATCTGCCAAACTATTGTCAATAAATAGGGCTTTGGCAAAGGCATATAAGAAGATTTGAAAGAAGATGTGATTGTCATACTCAGTCTATTGGCTTACACTAGATCAGAAACAGTCAAACACCCAATGTCTTAGGGAGTGGGTTGGATGGTGCCCTCCTCCCACAAGATACATCCACGTCAAATCCCGGGAACCTCTGTTTTCTTATTTTGAAAAAGGGTCTTTGCGGAGATAATTAAGTGAAGGATATTAAGACCCTGAGAACATCATTCTGGATTATTTGGGTGGGCCCTTAATCCAGTGACAAGTGTCTTTAGAAGAGATACACAGAGGAGACACACAGAAGAGGGGGAAGGTGAAGACAGAGGCAGAGACCGGGATTTTGTCAGGAAAATCCAAGGTTTGCCAGCAGCCACCATCAGCTAGGAGAGATTCCCCCAGAGCCTCTGAAGGGAGCAGGGCCTCACTGGACTTTGGACTTCTGAGCTCCAGAACTGTGAGGGGACACATTTCTGTCATTTGAAGCCAGTAATTTGTTGCAGCACTCATAGGAAACGAATACACCATATGTCGATGATGGTGTTGGGGTCAGGGAGTAGCCCATAAGGCAAAAGAGATTCTTAGGGAGGCTTTTTGTCGTTCTTTATTGCAATGCCATTGATGTGTTTTATTTTTCTTTATAAACTCAAATCTCCCCTTTTATTAATATACCAGAGGAAAGAAAGAGCCTACTTCTGTCATCCTTCCTTAAAGAAATTGACTGTTACGGGCAAGGGGCATGCTTCCTCAGCCAATATCAAGAGCTTTTCCATTCCCTTTCGTTACATTCCTGCCACTCAGATAGCCCAGTCCGAGGTGTCTGATCACCTCATTACATGTTTATTAGTTTCCTGAAGCCCATTTTTGCCATCTTAAGCTCTTTCAGCTCTGCCTCTCTGCACCCAAGGCAGGAGGAAAATATAGCCGAGGAAAGGTTATGCATCTCTTATTCTGTTTTGTTTGCTACCAAAAATGGAAACTCTCTAAATTTTATCTAATCTTTAACAAACCTTTGGTTACAGGAAGCACGGTAGTTCTAACAGATCGACTTCCTCAGTTATGCCTTTCAGAGGCCCCAAAATATCAATTTTTAAGTTACCCAACACACAAGATAAATATTTTAACTACCATTTTATTTCCATCCAGGCCAAGGGACAATTTAGAAAAGGTTCTATTATAAGTACATAGCCCAGGAAGTGTGGAAGGGCTGTCGATGCTGTTATTTTGAAGTTAGCCTGTCAGTCATCATGATTGAAACATAACCCCAATGGCTTCCACAAGTGTAACAAAATGCTTCACAAAAGGTTGCAGAATTGTAGGATGTAATAAAGTCTGCTTAGCTTCATTTCCAATGCCGCAGAGTCCTAGAGAATGAGGCCCATTTCCTTATGCCTTGGGATTTGTTCAAGTTGCTTTCATGCCTGGAAATGACAGAACATAAAAACAGACGTTTAGTTAGAACCAATAGCATTTTTTGAGTTATGGCAATAAACAAAATGTAAGTTTGCTTACTGCTAATCTGTTGGATTGCCACTAACAATTTCGAAGAAGCCATATAGATGTGGGCAGAATGTGTGAAATAGGTGGGTTCCAACCCTGTTGATACACCCTGGATCCCCACATTTTCTGTGGCTTCTGTCCACACCCCATGCCCCAGAGGTCAGCTGTGTGGTCTCTTAAGAATCTATTTTATGGACACGAGGCTTACATACAAATGAAGTCAATTCAGACCTGAGGGTAAGAATGGATTCTCAAGCATAGACGTTACCAGAATTACCTGGTGAGCTTGTTAAAAACACAGATTTCTTGAGTCCCCCACATTCTGACTCAGCAGGTCTGGAGAGAGGCCTGAGAATCTGTGCTTTTTAACGAGCTCTCCATAAAGAGTCTGAGATTTGGGGAATTACTGAGCTAGTGTGTAGAGGGCAGAATTTGCTTTGCTTCAAGGCTAGTTACCTTAAGGATTTGGGCTAGAATTAAAACAAATAATTTCTACTCATAAAATAGGAAAGGGGGAGGTTAACCTTGAAAGAAAAACCCCTAGATCATACAAATGCCTTTCATATCTCTGGCATTCTTCCTCTACCCCAAAGGAGAACGTGTTGGATCCTTGGCTTCTGGGCCTTAATTATTGGTATCAGTAAGTGGGAGTGGTCGGGAACTGGACAGGGTGAGGCTACCAGCTTGGAGGACATTGGAAAAGGCAGACAGTTATGGGAAAGAGAAAATTAAACAGGAGAGGAGGAAAGATGAGAATTTTCTGGGCTAGATTCCATGTTACTGGGTGAAGGTTGAAAGAAGAGGTGCTGGGAGATGTTGGGCATAGCTACCATGGGTGTGATATAGGAAGAGATTTTGAGGAACTTTGTTGAGAAGCACAAATGGACTTCCCCTTCAATGTTTTCAAAAGTCTTCAGTGTAAAAAAAAAAAAAAAAGACTTCAGTGTAGATTTACATCACTTTTCACTTCCTGTTTGCTATTTGTCTGCTAAATGGATGGCTCTGTGTGCAACCCTGTGGACAGAGATCTGGGAGGCTGAGCAACAAAACCTCTGCTTTCTAGGTCCAGTGCGTAGTTCAAGGGTGTCCCCAGTATGGGCTTGTTCAGCCCTACCTGGGTGAGGAGACCCTGGCACATGGAGAGAGTTTTTAGTGAGTCTAGCATTATGCTTTCTCTGTAAGTTCATACCAAGGTAAGAGAGCAAAGGGCAGGCAGGGCATCCCTTTGGAATCACATCTGGTCCCTTCTAGGACCCAGAACGTAGAAGCCTAACCACTTCTGCTTCAGCCTTCACATTTGAGCTCAGGATCCACTGCCCCCCTCCCCCAGCATCTACTGCTATCTGTGAGTGAGGGGTGGAAAGTAGGGTGTATGCACCAGTTTGCAGCGCCCCCCATCCCCAGAGATGGGGGCCTGTCTCCTTTCTATATGACATTGGGATTGTTCTCTATTGTGCCCAGCACCACCCATCTTGTCTGGACATACAGGTCATCTCCCAATCATTCATCATTGCCCTTGTCCTTGAACAATTATTGACTTTGAGTCAGAGGCACCTGTGCAGGCCTGAAAATGGATGTGCCCTTTCTTTTCCTCCGCCTTAACTGTCTAGGGCAGATTTATGTCCTAGGAGAAGTTTCCCTCAGTTTTATTTTTGGTCTTTGTGGCCCTATGTTATTGGCCGCACCCGCCCTCCCCGACACCAACCCTGTAATTTCTGAATCTCCGCGGAAGCCTCTATCTGTACCTGAGCAGGCTTTCCGTCAGTCTACTTCCAATGCTTCCGCACACATCCCTCACAAGCGCTGGCATCCAAACTGTCTGCCTAGCTTCTGCAGGCTCTGTGTTCAGCAGTTCCTTTTCTCCAACGAGCCTGGAAGCTTGTGGGAAGCAGAGTCATCTTCTCATGCCAGAGCACAGAGAGGGAACGTGTCAGACTTTGCAGAAACTTGAGTCTGAAGTCTAGCCTCATGACTGACTGGCTGTGTGTCTGTAGGCCATGCGGAGCATGACCGGCTGGGGTCGGGGAGAGGACTGAGCCGGTGAACGCATACAAAGCCCTTGGAGCAGAGCCTCGCCCACTGCAAGCGCTCACTTGGGTTAGCCCCTGGTGTCACTACCATGATTTTTTTCTCCAGATTGCATTGCCAGTCAAAGCAAGTGAACATCAGAGCCTAGCTCTGCAGCAAGAGATTCAGTCTCGTTTTTGGAGAGGGTGCCTCTGAGCAAGGTGCTCATCTTCCCATCTTCTGGTTGGGTGTCATATAGTAGGTGCCCTTCATGTCCTTAGTTCCCTTTAATAGACCCTTTACACAATGGTGTTTTTCGGGGCTGCCTGGGTATATCAACAAATGTCTTTACTGAAGTGTGAGTGAAACCCTGAGGAGGTACAAAGAGGTGAATGATGGGATCCTCCAGGCACTTCCAGCCCCTGTGGGAAGACCCTCGGCACAGGATGCGGCGAGGCAAAAGATGATTGGGTGCCAGGCAACCAGTCCCAAAAATGTGGCCTTTTTGGAGCTTCAAGAACAGAGAGCATGGGCCTGGAATGTGTGAAGTGTGACTGATTGCCATGAACGTGTGCTTTTCAAGTCTTTCTACATCTCTAATCTGGTGGCAGATGAAAACCGAGGATGCCCCACTCCCTGGCAAGGCCGGGCTTGAGGAATAACAGTGAGTATTATGAAGTTCATCTGAGATATTTGTTTTGCAGGGTAGGGAATAAAGGCAGAAGGGAAGCACCATGACCCTGGACTGTTGAAGAGATTTTTGGAAAGGAGAGCTTCGAATTTGGAAGGAAAATAAAAATGTCTAAAGGAGAAAGATTAAGTTTTGAGTAGGGCTGTCCGTGTGGTGGGTGCTGTCATCTTCTCGTCCGGCTCTCCCTGGAGGCCTCAGGCAAGTCTTCTGCGTCGATTTGCATTTTGTCGTCATGAGTTAGCGAGTACAGGCCTAAGCGGAGGTACCAAACGGATCCCCCCAGCTTATGAGCTAAACCATGCCGACTTCTTGACCGTGCCAGTGTCATCATACTCCAAAAAGTCCTTCTCCACAAAACGGGAGCAGAGTCTCCCGTTTTCAACAGATTCAGCCAACCTCTGCGTGCATTCAAGACAACATCTTTGCACTAGTGTGTCAGTGAAGGAGGCTTCTACCTTGTCCTCTGTGCCTCCTCCTCTCTGATAGGCCCAGAGGAGGAGTTTCTGCTTTGAAGCTAAGAAAACAGATCAACGTCTCTCTCTCCTGTAGGTGAACCTCAGAGGGAGCCGGCCACGGTCCATCCAACTGACAGAAGACAAAAGGAACATCTGGGGCCACAAAAATTCAACACATTGTCCCCTTCAGTTTCTTGAAGGTTGTGTTTCTCAACTTGGCTATTCATTGGAATCACCTGGGGAGGTCTAAAAGAAAAATGACATGCCTTCCTCCTACCCCCCACCCCCAAGATTCTGATCTAACGAGTTGGAAGGGTGGCTTAGGCCTCTGGGGGGAAACCACTGTGTGTGAAAGCAAAGAGCTCCAACCCTGTCTCCTTTTTGATTCGGCTCCAAAGTGTGCTCCCAATAAAATGCTCCAAGTGCCCTGTGCTGGAGACAAGTTTCAGTAGGTTTCAGATGCAAATGTCCAACTTCTAGTAAGGTTGTCTGTCTGTTGCAGTCTTAGCAGAGCCACACATTCCAGGCAAATGTTGGCCTTCAAAGGTAAGTGCTTCCTGCCCATGAGGTTAAATAAGATGACCTGTTTTGCATCCATTACCAGGGATGTCACAGAAATGGTTTTAAGGCAAAGCAATCACACTCACCAGCAAAACAAAGTCTTGAGACACCAACATCAAATTCCTCTGTAACAGCTCTCTTCTTTTAAAAGTAACTCTTTGTTCCTAGCAGGCTAGAGCTACAGGCAGACAGCCATGGAAAGTCATTCTGCTCACACCAAAAACAAGAGGAGCAATTTTCTACGGGCAGGCACCTCTGACCTCTGCTTTTCAGCTTTTTCTTAATAAACTTGTCTCAGAAATTGGGCCACAAAAGCCGCTGGTGGCAATCTCTTAGAGTAAGTGGGTAAAGGGGACGCTAGGGGAGATATAGTGAGGAACAGAGAGCCACTCTGATGAGGAACTCAGGCAGTGCAATTATCCTTCCATCTAGAGATAGAAGGGGTTACCCCCCAGCACAGTGGCCAGAAACCGAGCGGTGCGAGGACAGACTCAAGAGAGAAGGGCGACCTCATGCCAAGTTTCCTAACTCTAAACCATTCCTCTGTGGTGTGCCACTTGTACTGATTAATAACACAACTTCCTTTGATGAGAAAGTGTGCATTAACTTCCCCCGAAACTTCCCCGTGGCCCAGCCCCGCAGTTGTGCATCCTTGAGGGCACCATGGGGCCAGCCCCGCTCAGGAGGGGAGATGCCGTGTGCTCTTCTGCAGCAGAGTTGGGGCTCACCCTGGGCGCTGTCCTTTATAGAGTGGCCATAGACTCGGCATTGTCAGTTTTCTCTTTGAAGGGATAAATCAAACACTAAGAACAGCAAACACATGAGAAAGATGATGCCCAAGCTTGTAGCTGTGAGTGATTTACGGAGACCCTGCAGGGCTTAGCACTTCCTTTATCCCACTGTCTCCTGGCAAGTGAAGCTGCGAAGCCTTTGAGGCTTGATGGTGGGAGTGAGGAGGCAGAACAGAGCAAACCCGCTGCTGGCAAATTCGCAGTACTCCCGGAGCGTTTTCTTGTTGCCCACTTGAAACCAGTAAGGCCTCCGTCTTCCACATTTGTCCCTTTGACGTCCCCTTCTCTGTATCTGTACCCAGCAAAGACTCCCCTTAAAAGGCTTTCTCGTTCTGAGGGAGCTTAGGAAGAACAGGTTTTATTTGTCTCTAAATCTTCAGCTGATATTACTTTTCCCTGAAACTCAGTTGAAATGA